ACTCGGCGACCCTCACCCCCTCTCCTCTCGTGCTCCGCCTTTCCCAGCCATCATCCTCTGCTGGCACTGAGAGGGTGCTGAGCGTGCACCATTGCCCACGGTCACTGCCCCCCTGGGGTCACTGGAGAAGTGTGCGTCATTCCACCTGTCTGACCGCTGAGGCACAGACCTGCTAGCCCGTCAGCCAGGGGACTGAGCAGGGACGGAAGTAGGACTCGCACTGCTGAGCACAGGGGTCCTTCCTTCCTGTCATTTGCAGGGAAGGCGTATGATAAACGGGGGATGCTGGGCATGAAGGGCTGATACCGTATGGAAGCTGCTGGGGGAGCTCCAGGAAGAGTGGGGTCTTGAGGTTGGGTGGCTTGGGTGTGGGCATTGAGCTAGTCACGCCAGAGCGGCATGGATGTAGGTAAGCTCTTTAGAGTGTGTGAAACAGGCACCGGGTTCCTCATCCGTCGTGCGGGCCTGATGGCCGCCTGGCGGGAGGATTCCGTGGAGACAGGTGAACCAGTTCTTTGAGAAGAGCCATGGGCAGTGCTGGGCATGAGGTCAGCATCCTGTTGATGCCAATTTCCTTCTGATGGGGTGGTCACCATCTCTCGACCCTGTGAACAAGAAACCTTAGAGCGGACCCCTGCTCTGTGGGGACAGCCATCAGCGACCCTCTTGGCAGACACCTGCTGGGTGATGTGGTGGGAACCACCCCCCAGCCCCGGCTCCTCACCCGCGGCACCATGATGGCATTGTGTGCCTCGTTGAACTGTCACAGAAGGAAATGAGCAATGCAGGGGGAGCCCTGGCGGGAGGCCCGGAAAGCGATCAATACATAGTCCTCATCATTGCCGTCTCTTCCCTAGACCAACGTGGGATCGGGGGCTTTTATGAACATGTGGAAGCAGAGACCATTTCATTCTGCTCTTGCCTCCAGCTTCCCCTGCCCTCGGGGCGGACGCCTGCTCCTGGAGTGTGCCTGGCTGCAGCTGCCTCAGAACCAGCACTCCCCGCACAGCGCCTGCAAGAGGAAGGTGGACCGTCCTGTCCCGTCCCCCGAGCTGATGGCCTCCCGCCACCCTCTGAGCTCCTGAGTCCTGCTAGGATCCTGGCTTTCCACAAAGAGCTTCGGCAAAGCATTTGCAGCAATTCCCAGGTCAATAAATCACCACTGGAGTTATAAATTTAATAGAACCACTCACACTCTGGGGACATTTCATAGACTCCATAAATATTTGAAGCAGAACCTTCAGACACTGCTTTAAGAAATTGGTAGCAATCAAAGCCCTCATTCCGTGGCAAGTGGTTTTGCCTTTGGCTCGGGGGGCGGGGGATCTATGCTGGTTGTCTGAGCTTGGGAGAAATGCTGGAAGGAGCTCACACATTCTGAGGGCTTTGGCTTTGGCTAATGTCAAGGCAGCAAAGAGAGTATTTACTGGACCAAAACCTATTGAATGACGGGTCCGATGGTTCTCCACTGGGCATGATTTTTCCCAAGCAGGGAAAAATTTGGCGATGTCAGAGACATTTTTTGTCATCTCAACGGGGAAGTGCTCCTGGCTTCTAGTGGACGGAGGCCAGGGATGCTGTTACATATCCCACGATGCACAAGATAGCATCTACAACAGAGATTATCCAACCCAGTGTCAACAGTGCCGGGGTTGGGAAGCCCCGGACTGGCCCGATAGCTCCTAACATCGCCAGCAGCAGAGAACTCTTGTTACATTCCTGCCCTCAGGGCCCTTCCCCATGTTTTAGAAGATTCTTGTCTACTAATGGACATGCTTAATTTAAGTAATTATATATTTGACATTTTAAAACATTAAAACCAAGCAGAACTTTCTAATAAGCCCAATCATTCAACAGACACTTGTTGATATCCCACAAATGCCAGGAAAGATAATGTGGAGGGTGAGGGGGGTGAGTCAGCTTTGGTCCCCGCCCCGGGAGCTCAGAGGGCAATGGGACACACATGGACAAACAAAGCTGTGACCTCCAGAGAGCAGCCAGATGGGCCAGCCCCGGCTGCCGCGGCAGAAAACAATTTGTCAGCCCGGCTGTCAGCGAGCGACAATGGTGGCCTTCTGTGGGATCGTCTGGCCAGGCTCTGCAGCGCGGAAGCCCCGAACCCAAACGAGGTAATGCACATCCTCTCCCCCACTGCTGTGAAAGGGCCCCACCTGGGCTTTTAAGTAAATCAGGTGAGAGGGTTGGCCTGGCCCGTGGTCAAGCAGCAGAAAATGTTAAGTGCAGTCTGTCTGTGTCTCCCTGCTGCCTGATTCATTGTCCTGCTCTCCTGGGAGGCATTTTGCTCGAGTGGCAGAGGTTCTGCTCAGCAGATGCTTCCCTGGGCACTGCTGGGGCAGGTGAAGGGCTGAGAGATGGGTCGCAGGGCTCTCATTCCTGGTTCCCATCCTCCAGGCTCCTGGTGGGCGGGTGTGCAGGTCAATTGAGACTGCATGGCGTGGGCCAGGGGCAGCAGGGAGGGAGAACACAGGATCGGGGGGCACAAAGCTGCGGCTAACCAGCGAAGGGTCAGTGAGGACTTCCTGAAGGAGGTGTCAACTGGGGTGGGTCCTGGAGATGAGCAGGGGTCAGCCAAGGAGGAAGGACTTGCAGACCGGGGCAGCCACATGTGCCAAGGCCTGGGGTGGGGTCAGGGGTAGGAAACGGGGTGGACATACTTGTCTTTCTGTAATCCTGGGATGGAAGGTGCCAGAAAGAAGGTGCTACCTTTTTGCAATCCCACTGTGACTTTCTTCTTTACTTATGCACGTTAGTATGAATAAGACATTTTCACTCTTCAAAATTTGGAAGGCGCAGAAGTGTGCCCAGTGCAAATTTCTTCCTTGTCCCCAGTTCCCTTCTGCAGAGGCAAACAGGTCCCAGTATTTTAGGAATCCTTCCACAGACGCTGATACACCGTCAGCAGTAGAACTCAGACAGACATGGAGGTGCCATTTCATAGGTCTTGGTGATCGTTCTGCATCCCGACATACATCTTTCCTTCATCTTTTAAATGGTTGCGTTGTTTCCCATCATGTGGTTCCTACCGATCCTCTTGACGGACATTTGCGTTGTTTCTGATCTTTGGCCGTTAACACCGGTACCGTCGCGAAAATGCATGTACGTGCACCTGTTCGCACGTGTGAGCCTATCTGAGGGTAAATTCCGGAAGGAAGAATCACTGCCTCGAAGCAGAGAAGCCGTGGTCGCTTTGAGAGTCCTGGCCAGCCCCGCTCCTGGCCTCACCCGGGGGTCCCACTGGCAATGCTGGGGAGAGGGGTCCTGGTTGCCCACAGCCCTGCGCTCACTCTAAGATGTGTTCTTTCAACTCAGCGTCTACCTCTGAGTCCCCACGACGTGCCAGGCATGGTCGGAGGTGGTGAACGAGACAGAGGGGGACCCTGGCCTCACTGGGGAACTCCGGGGTGGGGGGAGGGAGTTCGTAAGCAGGTGTTTGCTTCCTGACCCCAACGAGGGACGGCCCAGGTTTCCATCTCATAGCCTGGGTGGGATCTGGCCACCAGGGACAGCTGGTGACAGGGCCCTGGGGAGTCGGTGGCTGAGGGCGAGCGGAGAGGCTGGCATTTGGGCAGAGCCTCGAAGGGTGATATGGTCCCCAGGGCAGAGGTGGCCGCCCAGGTGGGGCCAGCAGAAAGGGACGTAGGGCTTCCGAGCTGTGCTCTGTGCTGGGCACCGTGCTGGGTGCTGACACCCCCACTCCCAGGGTAGAAGCCCCTGGCTGGGGCCTAGGAAGCCAGAGGTGGGAGGTGCCGGGCACACCTGCATTTGCTGCCCCACTCCACTTCTCCCAGCGTGGAAGGCTTGGTTTCCTCCTGTAAAAGGGAAGTAGCTTCACCTAACATTGTCTCAGCTCACTGGAGCCTCGCCCGGGGTGTGGTGTCTGTGACAGGTGCCCCTCCGGCGTGTCCCTCTTTCCCTCCTTCTAATGCCGGCAGGCAGGAGGCCCAGGAGCCCGGCGCACACCCTGCCTCCGCTCACTTCTCTGTGCCTCAGTTTTCTGACCTGGCAAATGGGGATGCCTGCCTCCCAGGGAGGGTCCGAGGAGCAAGTGGGGTCATTTACCGGGAGCGCTGAAAACAGGCCTTGGAACACGGGGGTAGTCGGGGGGGTGCTGTGGAAATGCCACCGCTGTTCTATCTCTGTGCGCGGGATCTTTGACAACCAGAATGAAAACAGAGTCCCTTCGGGCGGGGCAATAGCGAGACAGAGCAGGAGAGAGGGCAGCCGGGTGACGTGATCAGCCGGGGCTGGGTCCGAAAGCTGATGGAGGGGGCAGATGGCAAGAGAGACTGGAATAGAGTCATGGTGCCGCTCAGTCCCTGTGGTGGTGACGCTGCCCAGCTTCCCCAGGAGCCGCAGAAAATCCGCTCGAGAAGTTAGTCCCGAAAGCAGTAGCCCGTCCCTGCAGGCTGAGGCCTCGCACGGGCCCTTGCCACCCCAGCTCAGAGCTGTGCACCCCCTCAGGGTCCCTGGTCCTTTCTCTTGCTCTACCTCCTCCCCGAACAGCCCTGAACAGCCCCGAACAGCCTTCGTCGGGAGTGCAGAGACCCTTGCCGGGGCCCTTCCGGATGTTGCAGGGGCAGGGGGAGGGGGCTGACTTCCCTTTCCTAAAAGTCCCGGTTTATCTATCGGGAAGAATGCTCATTTGTGCTGTTCCAGGGTATCCTTTTTTTTTTTTTTTCCTTTTGACCCTTTTAAAACTAACCAATCTAACATGGGCAGCAGACACTAAACAGCTAAGAGAGAGGGAGCTCTGCAGCTCGTCTACCTGGGCCAGAATCCCAGCTCTGCTCCCCAGCAGCTAGAACAGGACCCACCTCACAAAGTGTGTTCTGGAAGGATTAAGTAGAGGCTAAGAGCCTGATTCTTAGCGCTTCGTGGTATTGATGTTATTTTAAAGTGCAACTTGCCACCACTCTTCAAGTAGAAAGCCGGCATCAAAAACAAAGGAAGCACTTCAAAAACAAAGAGTTTACTGTGTAGGGCATAAAATGATTTCCCACACTGTGCCTTCCTCCTCTGAGCCCAGGTCTGGGGGAGGCAGCGCAGCCCCAGGCGCTGGCCTGCAGCCCCTCAGGGATCTGACCCACAACCCCTCCAGCTTGCTCCCTGCCCTGCTGCAGCCCCAAGGTCTCTGAGCCGCCTGTGGGTCCTGCCTCCCAGCGTTTGCCCTCTGGTCTGCTGTGCCTGCCAGCCATCCTTGGGAGCAGTGACACGGTGGATCAGGGTTGGCTCCAGCAGCCTGCCCTTTGCTCTCTCTATGGCCTCAGGCAAGTTTAGCTCCTCGGGGCCTCAGTGTTCTTATCTGTAAAATGGGGACACTTAAAGGAGGCAATTCATCGAGGCATAAAGCACAGAGCCCCCTTGCTGGGTAAACTATGATTATTTCTGTTGTTAAATTCTTCACTGGCGAAAGTCAGGGGACAGCATCCACCTTCCTGTTGCTGGAGTCAGGCAGGACACAGAGCTGCACCTGTGGCTCCAGGCCGGGGCTGTGTCTCCGAACTTCTTCACTGTCCAGCCTGCAAGGGAAGGTCTTTATGCCCATTTTGTGGCTGAGAAAACGGAGGCTCCCACAGACCCAAACTGTTAGACTCGGGATTTGAGTCCCAGTCTGTAGGGCTTAATCAGTTTTCCTTGCCCCTGGCACGCGGGGCCTCATGTCTATTCCCTTGTGATCCACGCACCCCACCCCGTGCATGCCTCATGTGTTCCTATCTGCTTCCAGGAAGGAGCTCATGAGACCTAAAATAAAAGACACAGATACAATAGAAAGAATCTGTATTACAGAAGAGTGAAAACTTAGGGCCAAATAATAGTTGAAGAGGGAGTCGGAGAGAATGACCACACTGGGCACCCCGAGGCCACGGGCCCCTGTGACAACTGAATGGAAAAGTGAGTTCTGAGCTTCCTGGTAGTCAAGGCAAAAAGCGGAACAGCGTGGCTGTCTTGGTGCTGACTTTCCAATAAAAGGAAACAGGTCTGAAGAACGTTTCTTCCAGCTCTGAGCTCTGAGGGAAGTCATCCTGAGGGTCTGTATACCGTCAACAGGACAAATGTGGACTCG